CATAGACATGGTGCATGGATAATAGATATAATAATTTATATTGTGTCAATAATTGATATGTATTGATTTGTTCACTACTGCATTACATATGGCACAACCACATGAGAAGCTTATAAAATTCATTAATATAATCAACATGATTGCATTGTCTCATGTGCTAACATTTCATATAACATTTCACATGATACACTAGAAGAAGATTTAGATAGAGATACTAATCCATCATATGTTTACTATTCATATTGATTGACATTTTATACTAATTTATATTTTCCATACTAGTCTAATATGAATGATTACATGCATATTATTTTAGTTTTTTGTGCATTGAATATAGTTATAAGTTATTTGTGACCTAGTAAATTGTTAGCTCATTATGTGGTTTATATGCTTCTCAGAAGGGTAAGGCTTTGGTGGAGTGAAGATTGATTTTGATTTGTTAATTATAGCTATTTTATTTTCTATTGGTTATTCTTTTGTAGTCATTGATATATATTGGGATGGACTAATTTGCATGTAGTCTATGATTATTATACATGATTTTTGGAATATGTGATATGTATATGATGCTAAATATAAATATTACTTTTGTTATTTGATTTTATATATAGATAATTAGAGGATATGGGTAAATAATTAGAAGATAAAAGATATAAATTTTCCATTTAGATATTAGTGCAAGATAGCGAGTGAGCATGATTATGAGGAAGAAGGGCTCCACGATTGGTTGGTTTCTATAGGGTGAGTTGAGAGCATCTTGGGTAGGTGATTTTCTATAGCAATGGTGGTGAGGATGGTTCATGGTATTTCATCATGGGTGAGGGTGAGAAGTCCTGACAGTTATTCCCCCTAAAAGATGAGTGGAAAATCAATCAATTTATAGAGAACCTTGATTAATCTAAGAGGATTTCTTGGAAATCTATGTGGGAGAAAAATTGATTCTAAGTTCCCTATCGAGTTAGGTTTATCATTTACAGGCGAGTTCCTTTATGAACCCATAAGGTACAAGCTCTTCTACCATGGCCCGGCCACTAACTACCAGCTAAATAATTTAAAAGGTATATGTGAGTATACATCATCATCATCAATAATAATAACAACAAGCCTTTTCCCATAATGTGGGGTTAGCTACATGAATCATTTTTCCTCATTGTTCTATTAAGAGTCAAATTCTCATATAAAACTAATAAAAAGGTCATTTTTTATACTTTCTAGTCAAGTCTTTTTAGTTTTACCTTATCTTTCTTAACATAGATCAAATCTAAAATATTTACTCCCCTAATAAGGTTATTTAAAGGCTGATGATTTATGTAACCAAATCATCTAAGGTAGTTCTCTCTAATATTATCTTCCACTGGAGTCGCTCTTAGCTTTTCAAATATATACTCATTTTGCATTCACTCTTAGAGATAAAATGCAAAATGAGTATATAAGTGAAAAGGCTGGAGTTGCTCTAGTGGCAGATAAGATTAGAGAGAGTCGCCTCAGATTATTTGGTCACATAAAATGGCAGGCTTTTGATGACTCGGTTAGGAGAGTAGGTGTATTATATTAGGCTTATATTAAGAAAGGTTGAGGTAGACCTAAAATGACTTGGTTAGAAAATATTGGAAATGACTTTTTTATTAGATTTAAATGAAAATTTGACTCTTAATATAACACAATGGAGATAAATGATTTAGGTAGCCTACCCCACGTAATGGGATAAAGGATTAATATTGTTCTTGTTCTTGTTGTTTATCATTGGTTGAAAAGATCTAATATTAATTTTTCATACATATTGTGATCTACTTAAACATAATGTTTTGACATAATTTTAGATTTTATCGGATAATTTGTCTATTGGCAATGACATTTCATGTAGTGCTTGCGGTGACTTGTAATGATATGGAAAGAGTTTTAGAGTGCATGTAGCCTAAATATCTATGTGACATCTAAATTAACATGATGTTGGGTTTATATAAGATAGCCCACCCTTTTACAAGAAGCCATTAGAAAAGAGAATAATAAATAAGATTTGAAGTCATGTAAAAGGGAGTAGACTTGGGCTCGTCAATAAGGCTCATGCTTGCATGAACTTGTCCTTAAAAAATATGAAGAATTGGGGAGCCTTCTCATTTACCTCCACATTGGTTCCCATCTTATCATATTATATGTTTGTATCATTATTTTCCCTCATAATCATTTATTCTTTTTTTTTTTAACAAAAATGTTGATGGCAAGTTTTAGGTTTAATGATTAAGAGGGGAAAAGACTAATAAAAATGGGTAGTTTTTGATTGAGTGAAGAAAGTATGAAAATAATAAGGCTCCCCCATACTTTGCTTCTCAAAGTCAAGTTAATATTGGTTAAAGATTTATCAAAGAGCCCAAATTACTCCTCTTTTACATGAGTTTATATCTTATAATTGTCCACCAAAATTGCTTCTCATGCATAGGTACTTGTCACCCATACAATTCACATCATGTCATTTTACACATGTCACGCAAATAGTTGGGTAAACCTTTATTTTGGTGAATTTATTATGTGTTGATAAACTTTATCTAATACTTTCAAACATATTGTCACCTTAATTGTGATTCAAGAATTTTCATAGTCAAAATCTAGAGATGCTTTTGGTATTGTAGGTGATACCCATCTCTTCATGGTTTTCATGTGTTAAGTGTTAGATGAACTTGAAGAGGTCCTACATGCCCCTTGCTAAACCCTGATTTGTCAAGTTTTCAACACTTCAATTGTTGGTCTCCATTTGTAGTCGAGATTTTTTTGCTTAGTAGTGGGTTGCTCAAGTTGAGGGATCAACCTAGTCAAAATAACTAGACATTCTGAGGGAACTAGGCCAATTATATTGTGCTAAACTATTAAGTTGTTTAGCTTCATGGATAATCTTAAAAGTGAAATCTATTTTTGCAATCTTACCTCATGGGGACTCATGTCACTACTCGACCCAATATAACCCATGTCACCTCATACGTCATATCGTGCTAGATCGTGGTAAGAAATAGAGACTGGCCCTAAGATCTAGATGGAGAAATGTTGAGAAATTGAAACATCCAAATCATGTACAATACAAACCCACAATTGAATATAAATGTAAAGCTAAGTACTACTGAAACTCATAAATAATTCTTTGCATGTCATCCAAACATACATATACAATCTGAGATTTATCTACAACAGCACTTGGCAACATAAAGGTACAACAAAATAAAATATATGATTACCAAAAGAAAACTAACATACCTACAGAACATATCAAAACTTGATAAAAGAAACTACTTAGCTCACTCCTTACCATTTCCCTTGCCTAAACATGATTGCAAAAGCAAGAGTGAACTACATCTTAGTAGGCTACGACAGCCTAAAACAAGAATCAACAACTCAACACATAAGAGATGAAAAATGTTGAATTAATAAACTAAAGTAATGTTTGGAAAGTTGAACTTAAAACAGGCACTGATACTAAATTGAAATAAACATTTAAATAAATTATTAAAATTATATTGAAATTGATTAAAATATAAGCAAACGCCTTATAGTAAATATTGGAATGGCCCTCGATCGCCCTCAGGCACCAACTTCTAATACATAATAAATAACATAATTCATTCTTTCCGCTAATAAAATCCCTTCTCTCTGCCAATAGAATTCCTTCTTAAGCCCTTAGACTCCATAATTTTCAACATATATAACAAATAACAAAATCCCTTCTCCGCTAATAAGTACTTTTCACACAATTCACCTATTTTGAATACATATATTGAAAATAAAGCACAATTTGCACTATTGAATCAATTATAGTGTTATTGTATAATTATATAAAAAAGTTGCAGCAGTTTTCAAACAATTCTACAGTTCGTCAAAACTATAGTTTTTAGAATTCTATCATACTACAAGAGATTGTTTAAAATAGCATTCTGAAGCTTTAACTGGACCAAGGCATTATTTTTAGATGTCGACGTAATTTTTTGAATTGATAAGAATTATTGCATTTCAAAATCAATGGGTAAAACTCTTGAATAAATACTCAAAATGATCAAAATAATCATACCGATAACATATCAAAGTTACGGGGATGAAATTCACTATAATCAAAGAAAGCCATGCTTTTGTAAAACTAAATTATAAACTCAATCAGAAAAATCCCAAAAACTTTGAATTACTGCAAACTAAAACATATCTCGACTAGAGCAACTTTCTGAACTGGGTCACCAATTAAAAAAAGACCTAAAACAGCCCGAAACAGACTTTCTCTCACTATAAAACTCTCTCTCACTAAGTGGCTGCCCAAACATATGGATCAAATGGAATATTTGGATATCTTAAATATTAAAATTCAATCTAGCATCGCGATGCCACATAACAGTACTCCAAAAAGCCCACAACGTCATAGTGCTGCCGCGTTGAATTAATTTCTAATTTTCTGATAGCATTGTCACTAAAGTGCCGTCAACCCTAGCTCCACAGTGTCCCAATGGAAATTTTTTAGAATTTTAAACATATAAACAAACCCCTAGGACCCACAATAAAAAACATGTAAACTCACATGCATGCAAAACCTTAACCTTTTCAAAAACATATATTTAGTGGGTTACCTCAACACAGGTCAAATCATAACATGTAGAACAATATAGTAACTCTAGAGATGCCACAACTCATGTCATTCGATTACCAATATTTAATGAGCAACCCAGCTTATTAACTTAAACTTCATTTGGGATATCTCTTTCATTACTTTGCAAACAATTTTTTAGTACAAATTTTTTTTGAAAATAGTGAAAAAATTACGCCAAAAATTGTCGCATACAAAGCCTTAGTTGCCTTAGAAGTAGTATCATATGCACAAAAAAGTAAAAGAAAACTAAAATAAAATTAGAAAATGAACATTCTCCACCATTGAACCCATCAACACTAAGTAAATTATATGAATCATACTTTTTTGTGTTTTTGTTATTTGTCAAACAAGCCCATGGTGTTTTTGCTCAATTAAAGAAAGAAAATCCACATCAACTGATAACCCACTGTAATATACATTCAATAAAGTCTGGGCATACAATCAAAGTTCCTAAACCCTGCCTACAAATCTGATAAATGAAAGAATCCAACAGGAACACAGATTTCACCTTCCAACAGTAGTCAAAGAAACAGAAATAGAATTTCTTGAATAGTCTTCTACAGCATTATACAAAGTAGAACTTGATGAGGATTCTCCTAGATTAGACAATGTCGATGCTTTAGTTATTTCAGTGCCAGTAGCAGTACTATATCTGTCTGTGTTGGTGTTTGAAAGAGCTGAAGAGGTACTAGTCCACCCTCCAATCCTTCCCCTTAGGCCTGGCATTCCAGGCTTTGGTAGTGTGAATGAATCACTAGAAAGCATGAGATGAACGTTATACATGTCTGGTCTATCAGATACAATAGCTTGGCAGCATAGCAAACCAATCTGAATGCAAAACAAAGCTTCATCTGAACTATAAGAAGACAGGGTGGGATCCATTATGTCTAATGCCTTCCCTTCTTTGTGGAGATTCCATGCCTAAGAGATTGAAATAGACATTAGCTTCATTACAAATGGAGATGATGAAATGGTTTATAGTAATCACTGAGAATTTATTTAGATGTTTCTACAGATTCCATTTGAAATTTCTTAGTGTTTTTTCGATCCAAATTGATACATTATGTTCTCACAATTCAATATTAGCTGTTTGATTGTGAGAAATTTTTTGGGCACCTCTTTCTGGTGGATCTATTAGTAATCATGCAAAAGGAAGAAAGTTATTCGATTGCATTTTTTTTTTATAATTATTTTGACTCACATAGCTCAAAAGATCGGCCTTCTCTTCACCGAGTAGAGGTTCCAGATTCTTCCTTCCACTAACAATTTCCAACAACAGGATCCCAAAGCTGAAGACGTCGCTCTTTGGAGATAAGTAGCCATTTAAGGCATACTCGGGAGCCATGTAACCACTGCAGAAACAGAACAAATTATTCAAGTAGTTATCTATGTAGAAGGCCATTCAAGCAGTTCATCTATGTAGTTTACATATGACAGAAAAAATTTATTGGACTGATAAGAATACAATAATGGATACAATGCTCCCTTGTAGCTGAAGCAACTGTGCCAATTGGCAGTGTAGGTGGTTTGTAATGCTGGTCTGTGTCAGTGGATGGGGGATTTATGCATGAAATCATGATTATTGTCATCATTCTAGATTCTAGTTCTCATGTACCAAGAATATATCAAATTTTATTTCTATTTTCTTTTGTATGTTGACTTTTGAAAGACTATTGTGTTTGTTAGTTCTTTGAGTCATGATGTTTAGAACACGTTTTAGATCATTTCTGGCATCCCTAACACTTCCAACTTTAAGCCTTTGTCCAAATTAGGTTATTTTAACCCCTTTAACCCCCTGTTGATTATCATCAGCAAAGCTGACTTCATGATCACTATTTAAAATTTCCAAGTTATTTTTTATCATCATAATGACCGCACCCTTCAGTCTCATTAAAATATTATATAATTAAGAAGCCTTCAAAAAAATCTTAAAATGATAATATCATGCATTCAAACCACCTCGAACCTATGGAAAACAACCAAATCTTTCCAAACCCTTTCCCCCATGGCTCCTCTCATTCCCCATGCATGGTCGTCTCCATATCCCTCCATTTCCTTTAGTTTGGCTTCTTTGCATGTCTATGATCACCTTCATCAGGTTTTATAATTGAACAGTTATGTAATTGAAAGAAAGATTGCTTCTTGAATTTTTCTACTCTTTTTTGCGTGTTTATCACCCCAAGTAAAGAACCACAAGAGAGAAAGACCTCAGACCCATTAGACTCTAAAGATGGAAAGAGATCCCTAAAATGATATACTATTCGTAGAGATCACCTATCCCTACAGTACCACTGGATGACTTAAATCCATCAAAGGTTAGATCATCAATAGCTCTCATTTTAGGATAGTTAACATAAATAGAAATTAAATCAACTAGCACTCATTATATGTTATTATTACATCTGAATTATATAATAGTTGCATGTTTATCATCATTCACTCGTAGGTAAATTGAAGAAATATCAATGCAATCATCATTTTTTTTGTCATTCACAATTATTTTGCACGCATCCTATAATAACATACATTCATCTAACATTAGTTTATAATTATCATGCATCATATTTGGTATCAAAACCAATTTAGTTAACCAGGAACATTTTGTTGAGTGTTAAATTGCATTTTCTATAATAGACTGTCTATTAGCTTTATCGAAATTAGCTTATAATCTTACCATCAAAACAAGATGAAAAACTCCAAATCATCGCTTCATTGGATCCTTCACTCATACATATAGTTGTATTTTTAATTCCATCATATTTGCATATCATTCAAAGAAACATCATATTTTTGCATTTCTATTTTCTATGATAATTCTTTGTATATTAGCTATATACCTTTATCATTTATGATCCAATTTGTAAACAAATAGTGCAAGTTTCTAGTAGCTAATTTTGCTAATTCTATCAACCATGCCCTCAAAAATAGAAAACCATAACACTCAACAAAATTATGCTGCGAATCTTGTGTCTTAATACTTTCAAGATGACTACTCGTGGTGGGCACCCTTCACAAAATTGGAACTATAATCATAACAATGATATCAGTCATTTGTAATAGAAAATGAAGCTCTCACCATCCTAGCCCAACAAACCACTCAAGAATTTAGGAATAGACTAAAAAATATAAAATCATTGATGTAGGCAAGGGGGGGTCAAAACAAAATGAAAATTTTGTTTTTTGGGCTGCTTATTGTCTCACAGTTTAGTCCTTGGCTGCTTTGGTTTTGAGCTGAAATTTTGAGAATTAAGTGGTTCTAGCTCATAAATGTTTGAGCTGATGTTTTAGTTCATTAATTGGAAGAGTCTTTGCACTTGATAGCTCATTAATGGAGTGATTTCTATGTCACTTCTTCCTCTCCTTCTTGGGAAAGCTTGCGAGCTTGTCCTCCTATCCTTCGTCTCTGACTTTTAACCTCCTTCTCGTCGCAAGTGACCATCCCACATGTATCCTTCTTCTCAAACGATGGAATTGCAATTTTATGTGTTTTTTGTTTGTCAAGAATTGTAAGGTGTTTGTGTTTGTAAATGTCAAAGTTGTAATTGTCTTTTTATATGTTATAAAGTTATTGTTTTTGTTATTTCAAGAGTGTCTTTGTGTATCTTCTGTTTTCTATGAAGTTTGTTATTTTGCTTGCAAAAATTAGGGGTTGTCCTAATTTTTTGCTTGCATCAATTTGGTATCAGAGCGAGTTAGTATATCATAGGTTATTGAGTCGTGTTGTTATTTGAGTCTGGTGTCATAAGAGTTTTTAGAGAAGTTGATATAATGTGATTTTTGGAAGCCAAAAACCAACGGGTTTCGTCGTGGAAAAGCTTGAGAGCTTGTTCCATTCCTCTCTTCTTCTAGGAAAGCTTGCGAGCTTCTCCTCCTTCGTCTCGGCTTCTAATCTCATTCTTCTCTCCGCAAGATCGACTCCACTTGTATCATTCTTCTCAATCAAGCAAAGAAGAGCTCCTTTAGGTGTTTTGATTTTGCATCAAAGTTTGTAAGAGTCTTTTATTAAAAATTTTTGTATTTTGTTTAGTTCTGAGTATTTTCTGTATTTTCTTATCCTAGGAAGAGTCTTTATTTTGCTTGCAAAAATTAGAGGATTGGCCTAATTTTTTGCTTGCATCAATTTGGTATCAGAGCTTAGGTTTGTGAGTCTTCCTAGGTTGTTTCGTGTCTTTTTTTTTAAAGTGTTTTAAAAATGTAAAAAGGTAAAAATAGTGATCCAGTGGAAGAATGCAAGCCAGAAAATATTGAAGTGTCAGTTTCAATGGACAGATGGATTCCATCAGAAGGTGATTCAACAGATCCCCTATAGAATGAACTATACAAGCTTCAGGTGAAATTGCATATGAGTACTGAAAACTATTTGAAGAAAAAGAAATTGTTACAAGACCAATTCAAGCAAAAACTGAGAAGATTTTGAAGAAATACGAGGCAAAGATTCAAGAGCTTGATGCGCCTCCTCAGAAGAAATCTAAAGACAACTCATCGGGAGATGAATTCTTTCAACCAGAGGAGAATTGATGTAGGAAAGGGGGGTCAAAACAAAATGAAAATTTTGTTTGTTGGGCTGCTTAATGTCTCACGTTTTGGTCCTTGGCTGTTTTGGTTTTGAGCTGAAATTTTTGAAATTAAGTGGTTCTAGCTCATAAATGTTTGAGCTGATATTTTAGTTCATTAATTGGAAGAGTCTTTGCACTTGATAGCTCATAATTGGAGTGATTTCTATGCCACTGCTTCCTCTCCTTCTTGGGAAAGCTTGCGAGCTTACCCTCCAATCCTTCGTCTCGGACTTCTAACCTCCTCCTTCTCGCCGCAAGTGACCACCCCACATGTATCCTTCTTCTCAAACAATGGAATTGCAATTTTAGGTGTTTTTATTTGTCAAGAATTGTGAAGTGTTTGTGTTTGTACTTTGTAAGTGTCAAAGTTGTAATCGTCTTTTTATATGTTATAAAGTTGTTGTTTTTGTTATTTCAAGAATGTCTTTGTGCATCTTCTATTTCCTAGGAAGTTTTTTATTTTGCTTGCAAAAAATTAGGGGTTGTCCTAATTTTTTGCTTGCATCAATCATCTAAGAAGAAATCATGATAACCTCACCCCTAAACACCTTAGGAAAGTTAAGGTCAACCTGCTAACCCTTCACCTTTCCTCCACCCCATGTTAGGACCCATTTATCATCGTCCTAATTCATACTCACATAAGACTATGACGATAGCCACAAGATAAATGATACACCCTTTGTCCACCACGTCGAATGCGGCTATATCTTGGAACTGATGACGGCTATGCTCCAAAAGCCCCTCATGAGTGTTACCCTCGGCAATGCAAGGTGTCATTATATGATATGAATCGACATTACGCCGGCCTACAGCCAACACACCAAAATCTCAATGATGATATCATTTAGAAGATCAATGTAGGTCTACTTTTGATCCTCAACGTTTGATCCAAAATTTTTCCTTCATTGGCTCATTGATATAGGCTAGTATTTTGACTTGATGACCAAGTCTAAAGTGTGATAGATTTGTTCCACCTACATGAAGCTACCTAATCCATGTCAAAATGTATTGAATTAACCTTGTGCAAAAAAAAAAATATTGGGCAAGTCATCCACCCATTAGCTCATGGGATGAGAAGAAAGAGTTAATTTTTCATGATCAGTTCATAGACAAGTGACTATGCTTCAACAAGAGTTTATGACCATTGTTAATTAAATGGTGCATTTTGATGCAGATAACCATAGTAATGTGACAGAGGATCATCGTATCATAATCTTGATATTTCCATCCAGCTTATGGGCTAACATCTATTAGGAGATATTGACCCAACACATTTACACTCTTAAGAATGCATTCTAGTATGACTTCAATTTGACCAATATCTTAGATCTCATTCCCATTGGAGGTTAACTACATCATATGAAAGCAGGTCATCCCACAACTTCCACCTCATTGGCACCTAAATGATCCAATGATCCCAAGAGAAACAATCCAAGTAAAAAATCTAGTTCCAAAGCATTAGGTGATCCTTGTTTAGCATATGATAAGATTAGTCACTACGTAATTATATGTCCTAAATAGGATCTTCACATAGACTCTAAGGATGTGAATCGCCTCGAATAGCATAAGGATAATAAAGTTGTGGTGGGCCGTTATAAGGAGGCCAATGTTGTTGAGTAAGATAGATGACACCTGGCTATTGTACATTGTGTATTGGCTACCCCAAGAGTTAACACTAACAAGAGGCACACAAATTTTCTACACCTACTTTAGGAGAGATGACAAATCATGCAAGTTGATTATTGGTAATGAAAGTTGCATGGACATTCATTTCCTTCATAGCTAGGATGAAGCTCAGAGGCTCATAAGGTCGTTTTAATAGATAAGAACTTCATCGCTATCTCCCAATGTTACCTTGGACCCATTTAATTGAGTATACAAATAAATTTTAATCTTGTATTCTTCCTATGTATGTTACTCACCCTCCTAGGGAGGCATTAGCTTTATAACATAGAAATCACCCTTACAGACGATCATAAGTTTCAAAGCAAGCGGATTATACTAAATCTCACTAAACCCAAGGAGGCTGCTCCACAATATCAAGATCCCTCTACCCCTGTAGAGAAGAAATCCCTTCATGTGATCAACAAATGTGAATTTGAGCATAATGATAGTGGGAATATCATATTTAGCAATGGTTATCTTGATTGCCACAAATCAACCCACTGTCTAGTCCTTCCCACCAATAGTGATTGGACATTTGTCAAACTTTCAAGATAGTTTATCTTCTTTTGAGGGATAGTTTATCTACATGAGCTTCCAAAGATGTTTGCATCTAATCGTGATGTCAAACTTATGAACTATTTTTGAAAAACTTATAGGGAAGAAACTTGGCACGTCACTTATATTCAAGAACCCAACAACCATAAAATGACGATCATAATGAAGTAATCAATAAGAGCTTGGGGAAACTGCTTAGGTTTTTAGTAACTGACCATATCATTAGTTGGGACCTTGTTCTTTTTTTTTTTTTTTAATAGGAATATTCGTATTCCTATAGTTGGGACCTTGTTCTTCCTACTATAGTATTCCTATAATAGGTTTATTAATAAGTTGATGGGTACATACCTTTTCCATGTTTTCTCTAGTTATGAGCCAAGAAAGAAAATTGATCTAATTGGCATGCCAATATCACATAAGCGTAGTGCATTAGTATCCACATTCGATTAAAGTAGATTTTTTACGAGCAACTCAATAAGAAAACTTCATCTAATTTATGATAAATATAAGTGATATTGATGCACACAAATAATATATAAGTCATTGAAAGAGATTTAGTATTAGTTGAATTTATCCCTGACACTTCCAATTGAAACTCATAAGATGTAAACACCTAAAAAGAAATCAAGTCCCCGTAGAGATGTGAGCATGATAAAAGATAAATCTTCTTAAGCATACTGGAATTTCTTCAATGTTAAAAGTTTCAGATTTAACATCGTGTTGTGAGCAAACCCCAAATACTATAAACAATACAAACATGCGGGTGGGCCAATCCTCCTTTAATAGCTCATTTGTCATCTCATCACCTAATGTCTCATTGTCCAAAACAAATTTTAAAGAACCAAGCCATCACCACATTGAATGAAACACTTATAAGTTCCTAGTTTGTCAAAAAGGCCCTTCTCCACTTGAGGATTTATGGCTAACTTTTGATGAGTTGCACCAATTGAGCATGTCGTTGCCACTGAGTATCTAGATCTTCATTTTATGAAAGAAAATCTTATGAAGTTGGGGAGTGTAATGCCGCACATTATAGTTGTTATCATCATCCTAGAGTCTAATTCTCATCTACCTAAAACATATCTGATGGTATTTTTATTTTCTTCCATATTTCCATTTTTTATGGAACATTATGTTGGCCAAAATTAGTCATGTTATATTTTAAGCCTATATATCTTTTATCATTTCTAAATTTATAATCTTGTGTTGCACTGTGGAATTGAGTAGTGACCACCCATTGACCAACATCATCAAAGTTGACCTCTACATTACCATGTCAACTTGCAAAGTCTTTTTGAATTACCACCTCATCAGTCTTAAGTTCACCATAGTCTTCAATAGCTTCCATTTTTTATTTGCTTTCATAGGGTTAGGCGTCTAGCATGGTTAACTAAAACTTGAATCATCTCTACTCTATTACAATTTCATTATCATTTGTGCTCTATAATAGTTGTGTATTTATGTAATTCACTAGCAAGTAAATTAAAAAATTGTCAATGTTATCATCATATTTCTGCACTCATAATTAGTTTACATTCATTCTATAGTAGTTTATACTAATCTTACATTAGTTTGAAATAGTCCTACATTACTTTTTTGTGAAAAATATCCCCCTTACATACTGAGTTGGCTCCATGAAAGCAATGGAATATTTCCTAGCACTACTCATGTCGCAAAAAACAAGTAATACATTTTTCTTATAATCGACTAAAGGAAACACTAAAAACATCAGTTTTAAGTAAGGAAAATGTGCATAGACTTGGAGTTCAAACTCACTAGGTACCAGATATTTTAAAGGTGTTGACATGGGTTTCATCGCCTGAAAAAAGCCTAGCCAAACCGAAGTCTGAGATTTTTGGGCTCAGTTGTTCATCAAGCAGGATGTTGCTAGCCTTAATATCTCTATGGATGATCTTTACTGGGGACTCTTCATGTAGATAAAGGAGACCTTTTGCCACTCCCCCAATAATCTCCAAACGTTTTGACCAATGCAATGGGGTCTGCTTGATTTTACCTGAACAGTCAAAGCAAAGAACTGTAAACTAAAATAAGGAGATGTGGAATATTTAATTTGTTTTCCTTCCACATGATTCAAAACTATATATAAAAAAACCTCTTCCAACAGGATGAATAAGGTACGCGATCACAATAAACTAGTCCATAATTTAGTAAGAACAATCTGATTGCACTCTTCTCCAATAGGGATATTTATTCAAAAATATTTGGTAACAAACTCAAAGTACACTGCTTTTTGACAGAAGAAGATATAATATTTTTTTATTAAAAATACATAAAATCATGCTAAATGTTAGTGTCCATGAAGAAATAGTACCAATCTTTTGGAATTCTTTCAGATATTGGATTGTATGTGACTGCATAGATTTCAGATAATAATTATTATTTATTGTTCACTTATTCTATATTGGCAAGAGCATCATGCATTTAGGTATTCATAACAATTATCAAAAGTTGTTAAAGCAATGTACGGTAAACATGAAGTACACTTCATCAATGAATGACAAGAGTTGTTTTACTGTATGATAGAGAAAATACCTTATTGGCAAATTCTTTCAAACATGAGTTGCCATTTATGAAAGAAATAATATTAGTCCTCTTGATTGCTTTCCTTTGGATTTTCAAATCTATATATATATATATATATATATATATATGAATAAAAAAGTGCAAGCAATTATCTCTTATGCCCCCCTCCCATGAAGGTAGCCAAACCACCAAGAAGACGCTCTCACACTAGATACTTCTCAATTCTTAGTTGATTCTTCCTCTCTTTGGCAGGCTTCAAATACAAACTTCCTTCTTTTATCATCCAACTAGAAGGCAGGTTATCCTCCCCATCACCAAGCCATAAACCAAGCACTTTAAATAAAGAAAAGTTATCTTGCTTCCACATCACTATCAAATTGTTTCTTTCTCTGCCAATTTGTGGAGCACGTGCATAAACTGTATGCTGATATCAAAAATAATATTAATTTGCAATAATTTAACTTTCAATGCACAACCAAGTATTTGTGAGTTTCATGATGGAGATTATTGTGGGCTCCGAAAATTCATGCCCCGACCTCCTCTCACCTTTGGGGGAGTTTTAGATAAATTAGGTTCCGGGGTAGATTTTCAGAAGGCAAATTGGGATTGTAGATAGGACACTACCCAGAGATTTCGCCCTCATTTTGCGAGGACTTTATGATCTGAGTTATGGTTTCCTATAGGCGCAAGCTCCTATAGTTAATTACCCCTCACAATAGCGAGAGAGAACTTTTGATTAAGGCTAGTCATTGATCAGATACAAAGAGATATGTGTGTGACATATAGTAGCAGCATGGGTTTAGATGTTTGAATATTTCATATTTAAAATGAAAAATTTCACCATCTGGCACTTAAAGCCGATGGTGGGGGAAGTGATGATGGACCCGATTAAGATCTCATGGTTCCATTGTCCCAGGTCATCATGGTCCCTGGTCTACTTAATCAAAGGAGGTAGTCGACCCAACCTGACAGGAGGATCCTTGTCGGCAGCCATGAGTTGCATCATTCAAGGGTACCTCGTAGACCTGGGATGAATATTTAACTAAGGGGACAAATTTGAATCCACCGTAGCTAACAAAGGGCGTTGTGCCCTATCGATCATATCCTATTGATTCATATCTCAAGAATTTAGTGTCATTGGGGAGTTTACGAGTTCTAGCCATGACCATAATTTAGTAGTGCAATTTGACGGCAACCACCAAGTTCAAAGGGCCCCGGTCATAACCGTTTACCTGCGGTGCTATTTGGCGGCAAAATCGCCGGTTAGAGGACACATACCACGTCCTTGCTGGCAAGAGATAGTTCAAAAATGAATCCTACTAATATTCTCGACCGGACATTGACTCTTTATGAGCTGAAGTAACCCACCTTAGCTAATTATTACGGATGGTGAATGTATTTTACTTTAAGTGTTTGATGGTTAATTTCAATTTCAAATATTTTAAGTTTGGTATTTTAGGATTTTAAATTTTTATGAGCATTTGGGTGGCATTTGCTTGAATGTTTAAAATTAACCCCATTGGTTGAGATCTACGTTCAACGCGATCATCATTGGGGTATCTAGGCATTTTTTTTATTAGTTGAACCTTCTCGACTCTATCATATTCGCCGACAGAGGATCAAGTCAGTTGTAGGTAGGGGTGCTAATATTTGACACGATCCAAAAACCCGACTCGAACCCGACATGAAAATTTTGGTTTCGGGTCAACCCAAACCCGAACGGGTTGGGTTCGAACTAAAGATTTCGACTCGTTTGAAAAAATGGGTCGGGTCCGGGTTGACCTAGAAACTCGAAATTGAGCCGTTTTGGCTCGGACCTGTCGTTTCCCGCACTCCGTCCATCCCGTCGCGTATAGCTAATTCACGACATCCCGCATAACATATTGTGCAAGTTATGACATGTGTATAAGCAACATGTTATCATGCAAATGCAATGCATTTGTTATAATTAAAAGCATCTTGCGGTGCTGGATAGTATGTTTAGATGAATTGACGTGCATGTTGCAATGCATGTATGAGGGGCTTTTAAAAATATTTGCATGTCATGCAACAGTGCAAACGGGTGTTTGCATTTTTAAATGCAGTCGGTTGCATAGGTGACTATTGTTGCCAAATGCGAGGGGGCTTTATTTCAAACTTTGTTGACACCTTCTGGCTTTCTGTAAGAGTATTGCATATCCGGTGGCGTGGCGTTGCACTTCAGTGGCCCATGATTTTTACTACTAATTCTCTGTTTTTTCTTACAGGTGGTCATATTGTTGCATTCAAAATATTCACGATATATTTCATTATTCTGATGCAGGCTCCGTCCTTATTCATAGTAGCAATAACATGAGCTGCATTCCAATCCTTGCTTAAACTAGATAAAGACATCCAAACGACATGAGGTCGTTTTGTGAAAGATGAGGTATCATAAGTTGAAGGGATCGAATGCTCGACAAATGCACTGTTGGCTCTCCTTCTCTTCATATCGCCACAAGGTATTCTCCTCGAAGCATGAACATGATGGAGTGCAAAGTCATCCTCAATGTCTCGGTGATATCCTAGTATCTAATATGCACATAATACATAGAAGCTTCTTTTATGACTCCAAAATAGTGTATTTGAGGAGCCTGTTTTATGTATTTATGATGAATATATAGGACGTCAAATTGAGGGGCTTGATCTCCAAGTTTTCACTCGAATGGGCGGCATATTTTTGGGAGTCCCAGCATTTTTGAAGAGACAACAGAATGAGACATCTTTTCTTATTTAACTACTCATTCTTTGATTTTATAGAATTATTAATAATATCTTTTAACCTCGCGCGGTTAATGCCGTAATTGAGGCCTTCCACTAGCAACAGGTCAACGGGTTTCTTACAACACCTTGCAAACATTTGTAGTTGTTGGAAATCTTTGTATTTCTGTAGAGATGATAAGATGAAATATTTTTTCAAGTGATCATTCTCTGACTCTACAGAATCATTCAATTTTGCATGCTTCCTGACATAGTCAGGGTCTTCCTTTGACGACATATCAAAGGGTTTCCTCTGTACGTCAAGTCGCCTTTATACCCAACTATCATTGTCAGAGTCTTTGAAATTATCAATTAGAGGATTTTAATTGTACTTTATCAGCAAAGCTTTCAGCTCCAATAAGATGAATGTGCTTCTATGTTTATATGAGACCTACCATACTTGCAGAATCTCAATCATCGTTGTTGCAAGCGTCCGTCCAGTGCTCATTTGTATGTTGTTGTTGACTACTAGTGACGTGCATTTACTATCAATTTCCCTGTACTAATGGGTTGGCAGCATGTTCCATGTGCAGCAAATCTCCTACAATAGCTCATAGGTGTTTGTATCTGTCATCCATTTTCTACTCTCGCTTGTAGCAAGTCAATGCACTTGATGCATTGCTATTGATAGTACGAATGCTCCAGCATATATTGAATGTTGCATTGAATCATATTCGCCACTGATTTCCCTTATGCACGTCAGCTGGCAAGTCACTACATCCGTTATCACTGCTTGTAGGCGGATCAACGTAC